GTGCGAAAGCGAAGCGGCCCTGTTAGAGAGGTATTAGAGGGGTTTAGTTTTACAGACAAAGGAAGAGGAAGGCCAAGGAAGGAGGAGGAGGAAGAAAGCGGAGAGAAAATTCAGAAGAAATGGGGTCCATTAAATCCCTTCAGATCCGCCAGGTCCTTACTCAGGCCGTCAGTCTTGGTACACTACCTCTCTCGTTCCTTTTTTTCTTCATTCGTTCCAGTAGTTCAGTTGAAAGGTCTAGGGTTTAATTATGTGATATTGCTGAAATTCTTAAGGGAACTATTTTTAATAGGAGAAAATAAATTAGAAGAGAAAAGAAAGAGTGTTTAGTCTGGTTTTCTTTTATGGGTTGTACATTTTTGTAGAAATCTGTATAGATTTGATTGAAATGTCTTGACTTGCATCGGGTGATTATAAGTTAAAATTAGTTCTGGACCCAAAATTCCTGTTAATTATTGTTCTACTTATGTTGACTTATAACCCTTGTAGGCTTGTAATGCTCTATGGTTCCAAGCTCGTACAAGTTATCATATGATTGCATTAATTTAGGTAATAACAATCCTTATACTTTTTTCTCATTTGGATGTTTATGAAGCTCAACTTGGGTGATAAGGCAAACACATTTTGCTTTGTGTTCCTTGTCTTTGTTTCTATTGTTTTTATAGTTTTGTGGAAAGAAAACAATTGAAATTCATGAGCTTGGTGTACGCATTTTTTTGTTAAGGATTATGGTAAGTTACAAAACATGTGTTATTTACTGTACAAGAAAAACTGTGTCTATATGCGTGTTTTCCTTTTTGGAGGCAAGTAAGAGACGATCTTCTAATGAAGTGATGATTCTTGAACTTTTTAATCTAATTTATGGTTTGAATTATATTGCTATCTATTCCGTCTAATGTTAGTATTAGTACTTAATCTGAGATGGCCTTTTTTTTGGCCTTGCAATTCATTTAAGGTTTCTGTTTCTTACTGAATCATGTGATTTGTCAACTAAATGCCTTCGAATTCCACAAAGTTTCTTTCAAATTGTACTGCCTCTGGGAATTCCTTGTATGATGAAGTTTTTCAATTATACAATTAAGCTGTTATATCATTCTAATGCAGCCAATCTTTGGAGCAATTGTTCATTGTGGCATTTTTGTTTCTCGATTCTTTGCCTTCTACTTTTTCTAATTGTTTCATGTTCATTTGTTATCGTTCTCTCTCTCTCTCTTTTTTTTTGCCCCAAGTTCTTGACATGGTATATAACTTTTTAAAATGTCAAGTGACTTATTTTTGCTTCGCCTCTAGGACGAAAGATGCTTTCCTTTTGTTGTTCATTGATGCTGTGTCAGTTGTTGAATGTAAGAAAGAACTTGCCGCAATATAGTGAAGTACACCATCTGGTTGAATGCTGTTCACTAATGCTTCATCTAAAACAATTTTTCTATTTATAGTGCTTATCATGTTATTGTTGTGCATGCTTTGATAATAATTAAGTCCATTTTTTTCTGTCTTCATAATAAGTGTCCATTTTCATGGCTGGTGATAGCTTCTCATTATAGTTTTAACAATGATTATGTAGGTGGTCTTTTTGCCATCTAGGAGTTAAGCTTCGAATTCTATCTACTATTCATGTTTAGCTTGTTGTAATGCTAAATTCAGTTACGGTTTTTGTCCGACTCTCTTCTTTATATTTATGATTTCAAACCAGTTGGTGGCTGGGAGGAAGTGGAGATTGTTGTGCTTTTGCCCACTTACTCTTTTATTTAATCATCATAACTCAAATTTTGGATCAAATCTCCATCTTAAACTTGACAGGTGGTTTATCTGCTTCCCAATAAGAAACGTATATTACTATTTGAATCTTGTATACTAACATTAAAACAAAATCGAATCTTTTCATACAATTACACATTGACATGACACCTATATAGTTTATCCTCTTGCCTTGATTAAAATATATTAACGTCTTTTAGTTACTTGATAGTTCTTATAAAGTCATCAGTTTATGAACAGATCTCTCTAGATAGGTAGAGATAAAATTGTTGAATAGTGGGGTAGAAAATTTGAAGTCAAATTCTATCAAAATGTTTTTCAACCCCATATTATATGTGTTGCTATTTGTAATTTTGGTTTTTTTAGTTTTGTTTAGGTACACTACAACTCCAATACTAGGGACTTTATTGAAGGAAGGATGCTTGATAGTTTCTAATGTTCTGTCTTATTTCGCACACTTGTAAGTAGGAAATTGAAGAAATCATGAAGTTCTTTGGCTTGAACCCTATACATATTAAAATTACACAGCATTGTCGAGTTAATATTGCTAAATTTTTTTTATATGATTCAGTTTAGTGTTAAAGTGACACAGTCAATTTTTTAACCAGCAATGAACTCTGTTTCAAAAATAAAATCTACAATCATCTTGAAAGTTATTGTTTGAAGATATTAGAATAGTACTCCACACGTGCGGAGCGCATCTCACTTACTAGTCATAAGTAAAAATTTATTAAATAGAAGGTAATGGTCAACCAAAAGATAAATAAAACATACAAAATGCAAGTTGATTGAAAAAAAAAAAATTCTCAATTATTGTGGTTAATTAATCGGATTGTTATTTTATCAAAATAGAAAAAATTCATGCCTTTTGTCTTATTTGTTCAACTTTACTTATTGTGCAGGCATATTGTAACAATATAATTGTGCTTACTGATTTTGCCTTATTACAGAGAAAGCACGTGACTGATTAAAGGAAAACGACTAACCAAAAAAAATAAAAACCCAGAAATCAACCTCGTTTACTGCCCCCTTTCAACGCGGCTACGCACCCACCCAAAGCGTCGACAACCTACCCACTTTCACTCCCTGTGGTTCAGTTCTGTTCTGTGAACGTGATGCTTCAACAAACTCACACTGACCCTTTTTTCACTTCTGGTTTTGGGTTTAGAGTCAGGCCTCCCAGAGCTATTTCCATGGACCACCGAACCAATGTCTTTAAACCCAAAGAAAAGCTCTTTACTTCTTCTTCTTTTTCCTCATCGTCATCCTCTTCTTCTCTGTTGTCGAAGCAGCCTCTGCGATATCAGAACTCAATCTTAACTTGTCGTGCCACGCGTGATTCTCAGGAGACTTCACCCAGGTGCCTACCCCCTCAAAACTTTTTTTTTTTAGTGGTATATATACGAATGTGTTACATGGGTTTTCTTAGTTTTAGCAAATGAATGTTTGGTAGTTGAACAATATGTTAACTCAGACAATGTTTGAATGTGAAAATTGTGCGTTTAGGGAGGATGAGTCGCCTATCCATGGATTGTCTGAGACCATTGTTGGTGTCTTGGGAGGAGGTCAACTGGGTCGCATGCTTTGCCAAGCGGCTTCACAAATGGCTATCAAAGTCATGGTCTTGGATCCTCAACAGAACTGCCCTGCAAGTGCTCTGGCCTACCATCATATGGTTGGAAGTTTTGATGATAGTGCTACTGTGGAAGAGTTTGCTAAGAGGTTCGAGTTTTTGGAAACTGTATCTCATTTACTTTATCTGTCCGCCTGTTCATTTCGGTTTTACTATTTTGACATATTATTATTGGGAATGATTTGTTAATGTTCTACTCTTTATTCTTGGTTGTTAGATGTGGAGTATTGACTGTTGAAATCGAACATGTGGATGCTACAACTTTGGAGAGACTTGAGCAACAGGGAGTCGATTGCCATCCAAAAGCCTCTACTATCCGAATAATCCAGGTTTGTTTCGCCTAATCTTAGTGTTAGTAATTCCAGCCTTGTGAAAATATTTTGCCTAGTTCAATTGTAAGGCAATTACTAGTTACCATTTATGAAAGTCCAACTTTTTTCTTGTGGTCAATGTATTACAAAAAAGGTAGTACAAGGGATCCTCCATTGCATTGTGATTATCTCCTCACACTCAGGCTCCATTTGGAATTCAGATTTTGAAAGAAAAAAAATTGCGAGGAAAAAGTCATGGAAAAAAAAAAGAGGAAAATGCTTTTCCTAAAAGTTTATAGAATTTTATTTTGACACTTTTGGTTATACTAATTAATATGTCAACATTCTATATACTAAGAAATAACATCAAATCAAACTCTTGCTTTTCTTGAAAAAAATTTCTATTGTTTTTTGTTACAATCCAAACAAGAGAAAATGAAATCTCTCAGGAATTTTTTCTTTCCCTCCTAAAATCCGAGTTCCAAACGGAGCCTTAAGATATGAGAAATTTTTTTTCTTTCCTAGAGCATAATTTCTTATTTCAAGATCGCACTTAACTTTGTTTTTCCACATATGGCAGGATAAATATCTTCAGAAGGTTCATTTTTCTCAGCATGATATTCCGCTACCTGAGTTTATGCAGGTTTTTACCCTTGATACATTCATGTAAAGGATTAAAGATGATGATTACGAATTTTTTCGCCATAACAATTGTATGACATTTTTTTTTTTTTTTTTCTAATAATCTATGGCAAAGGTAGATAGATGATTTTGAAGGTGCCAAGAGAGCGGGGAACCTATTTGGCTATCCTCTTATGATAAAGAGTAAAAGGTTAGCCTATGATGGGCGGGGAAATGCTGTTGCTAAAAGTGAGGAGGAGCTTTCTTCTGCCATTGCTGGTAACATATTCATCCAATATTTAATGATTTTTTGTTGTTTCTAGGATTGGCTTAGTGATCCCAGTATTCTCAATAGTAGTGTAATGCTTATTAATGTTCTAGATAATCATAATCATGCATGCTTGGCATGAATACTAGCATCAATTTTTGTAGGTTGCAGCGAGTGGGCATGGGCATCTTTCACCCATATAGGTCTCGTGGTTGGTCATTTCATTTGTATTAATAGCTTTTACAACTTGCATTTAATTCTAAGCTTTTCTGTTTTTGCAGTTCTTGGAGGGTTTGATCGTGGTTTGTATGTTGAGAAATGGGCCCCATTTGTGAAGGTTTGTTTTCCAGCGGATGTTCTAATGGAATACTTTGTGAAATTTTTACTACCATCAAATTTCTTGCTAAGTTAGTAAACAGAGTAGCGTACTTTGAAAACCATTGTGTTTTCCTGAGTATTAAGCTGAGATATTAGCAGAATAGTTAGTTTTCAAAAGCAAGGTTTGGAACTTGCGAATAACTTGTTACATGAATCATATTTCTTTGCCATATAGATGTATGAATGTAAAATTTAGTTGCTTTAGCTCAAAACTTTGTTCTATGATGACTTAGCAGGGTATGCTGTTGTACCCATGTGGTGTTTCATTCTCCAAAAGTGTCTATTTTCTGCTGTCAAAAAGAATTTCGACATGAATTATATGATTTTGATTAGGTTTTTGGACATGTGGAAACAACTAGTGAGCCTGTTGTAACTGCATATTTCGACTATACTGTAGTTATCCTTTTATTAGATTCAATATTCAATAAAAAGATAGTTTCATAAAGCTTTGTTATTTGAGTATTATTAATAAAATCTTGCCAATCCACTTTTTGGCAATATTACTCCAGGAGCTAGCTGTCATTGTTGCAAGAGGAAGAGATAATTCCATCTTATGCTATCCTGTTGTTGAAACCATTCACAGGTAAGCTACACGTCAGAATTCACATATCTTCAGTGAACAATAATACTTTGTGGAATTTCTGTCTTCAATAGTTCATAGCTTGTGAAATACAGTCATTTGATATTGAACTTTGTCTTGCATTTCATCACTTCACTTGTAATTGGGGAATTTTATCTTCTTCCAGGGAAAACATTTGTCACATAGTCAAGTCACCTGCAAATGTGTCATGGAAGGTTCAAAGGCTGGCTACTGATGTGGCCTATAAAGCTGTGAGTTCATTACATGGTGCCGGTGTATTTGCAGTGGAGTTGTTTCTGACAGAGGATGATCAGGTATTAGTATTTGAATTTCTGTTGGAAATCCTGCGCAATATTTATTAATATTCATTACCTTGCTTTAATTGCTTGTTTCCAATCTTAGTATCTTCAATATGCTACATCTACTTATAATGCCCATGATTTCTCATCAGATCTTACTAAATGAAGTAGCTCCTAGACCTCATAACAGTGGTCATCACACAATAGAATCTTGCTACACCTCACAGTTTGAACAACACTTGCGTGCTGTTGTTGGTCTTCCACTTGGTGATCCATCAATGAAAACTTCAGCTGCGATAATGTATAATTTACTTGGTGAAGATGAGGGGGATCGTGGTTTCTTTTTAGCTCAACAACTTATTGGGAGGGCTTTGGGTATTCCAGGGGCTACTATTCATTGGTATGATAAGCCAGGTAGAATTCTGCTTATGTTTTGTTTACTGATATTTGGCCACATTTCTTTCTGGTTCATACTGAATTCTTACTTGCATTATCGAAATGCTATGCCAGAAATGCGGAAGCAAAGGAAGGTAGGCCATATCACCATTGTTGGTCCTTCTGGGGCTGATGTGGAGAAGCGTTTGGATTCATTGCTGAATAAAGAAAGATTTGATAGTCAATTTGCAGGTTAGTTGTCATTGGCCGGCTTTATAATTTGCCATTTTTTCTTGGAAACACAGTGACAGGATTCCACACTTTCAGCAATGAAATGCTTAGTTAGTTAGGCTAAGGGGTAGGGAGGAAATTCTGTTAGAAGAGATTATGCCAGATCAGCTGTTAGTTAGCTTAGGGAATTGATGCTATTCTAGAAAGTGCTACTGAAGGGGAGAATATAAAGAGGGAGGGAGAGAGAGTAAAGGTAGGGAATTACTGGGTTTGTTGTGAGCGTTTCGCTCTGGGGAGAAAACCAGGCTCTCGAACTCCTGGGTATCTTTACTGTAAACTGAGCTTTGAGCTCTAATTCTAATAAAATTACTTCTTTATCAGTACTGGTTTCTATCACATAGCTGCTTGGAAGGCTTAAGAGTTTTCTTTCAATGTCTCTTATGCAAATCTGGAGAGAAGTGTAGTCCGAATTCTGCAAAATTTATAGCTTCATGATCCAGTAAAAGTTATCCTGATCTTAGGTGACCTCAATATAATATGTTAGGAAAGTAAATTTTTTAATGAAATTTGTTAAATGTTTTACTTTATAATTTGCATTAATTTGTTTCTTGTTTGTTAAGTGTAGTTGTACCACGTGTTGGGATCATAATGGGCTCTGATTCAGATCTTCCTGTTATGAAGGATGCTGCAAAGATTTTGACTATGTTTGATGTGCCTTATGAGGTTAGCTTTTTGTAAATTACAGCTTGACTTGGGGTTCATATGCTGTTTTCCTCTATTTTATTCAACTTTACACATAATATTCATATATTCAAAAATTGCAGGTGCGAATAGTTTCTGCACACCGGACTCCTGAATTTATGTTTTCTTATGCCTCATCTGCTCGGGATCGAGGCATTCAGGTCATCATTGCTGGTGCTGGTGGTGCAGCCCATTTACCAGGCTAGTCACATAAACTATTCTTTATACATGTTGACCTGTTTTGTATCAGTCTAACATTTGTTCAGTTCTAACTTCCAAATTTTAGGTATGGTAGCTTCACTTACTCCTTTGCCAGTAATTGGTGTTCCTGTGCGTGCTTCTACATTGGATGGAGTTGATTCACTCTTATCGATTGTACAGGTAATGCTGCACGAATAAGTAGCTTACAGTCTTATTTGCTGAATTAAACGAAGTGGAAAATTTGCTAAAATATTTGTTTCTTTTTGGTTTTTTGTCAATTATGGGTATTTATGAATGTATTTTCTGGTGAAAATAATCAAGGTTTTGGGTTTGAGTAGTAGTACAACTTTGCTCAGAAGAAACCATATCATTCACAAAAGCAAATATGATTCCTTGTCACTGAATGCTTGTGAACTGTGATTGAGATGAGTGGATAAAGGCAGGTCTGAGAGTGTTATTTTTTATTAGAAGCAAGATTCTTAATATAGTCCGGTACTCATATGTGGGGGAATTATGCTTGTTGGAGATTTTTTTTAGCACCACGTTGTGATTGTGTGAAAGTAGTGTCCGACCGTTAAGTGTCAACCTGATGCGTTATTTAATTGTTTCTGATGTTTCTTAAAAAAGTAGCCTAAATGTTTCTTTTGCGTTAACCCTGACAGATGCCAAGAGGTGTCCCTGTTGCCACAGTTGCTGTTAACAATGCGACAAATGCAGGTTTGCTGGCAGTAAGGATGTTGGGTGTTGTTGATGCTGACCTAGTAGCAAGGTTAGGTGCTCCACCTCCTCTTGGTCCCATATAAACTACTATATATATATATATATATATTTTGGGCGCGTCTACAGTAGGGGCGCCCTTACGTAGGGCCCTGTCTATTCACCGTTGGATGGGAATCTGTATATAAATAAATTCTCCACAGATTCCCGTTATTCCCCACAGATTCCCATCCAACGATAAGTAAGGCATGATCCTACGTAGGGACGCCCCTACCGTAGCCATCCCCATATATTTTTTAAATTTTAAGAAAAGAGTTATCAAGTTGATGGATTGCATATGTTGATGTGGGAATAAATTATGTGCAGAATGAGCCAGTATCAAGAAGACATGCGGAACGATGTCTTGTTAAAAGCAGAGAAGCTTGAAAAAGTTGGCTGGGAATCTTATTTAAATTCTTGATAAGAAAAGAGTATTTCTGGTGATATCTATAGCTTTTTTGGATTCCTCAACTCAATGAACCAATTACTGACGCAGGAGAAAACCCCATTACATCTAAGAGATACAAGTTTTAGCCTGTGAATTAGGACTCGGGACTAAAACTAAATTCCCTTGCAAGGAATGAAGAGGTCAAAGTAGATGATGAAAGGAACCAGGAGTTGCAATATAAAATCTGTCACCGGTTGTGATGTTTTCATTTTTTTCTTTTTTTTTTTCCATTGATTTTTTCAGTTTTTCATTACATGATTTAAAAGGGTCCCCTTTAGGCCTTGTAATAACTTGTTTGGTGAGCAAGAATTTTGTGTTTTCCTCCGTTTTTCACCGGGTGGAAGCAGTTGGGGACCCTTTTTCCTCATCATGCAACTTCCCAGTCTCGAGGGACGTAAAGTATAACTGTATAACATGTATTGTTTCCCGCTGTCATAGTGATCAGTTTATCTAATTTTTTCTGGAGAAGTAAACTTGTGTTAGGCCCTCCAGCCAAAAAAAAAAAAAACTTGTGTTAGGCCGGTTCCCACCAAGGGCAGCTTATTGCATCGCTTTATTTAATGTGATTTTTATCGTCCTTACTTTTTAAGACTTGACATTAGAAAGTTCAGTCGTTCTTTTTTAAGTCTTGGTTGTGATTTCCGTTTTTCTTTTCTTTTCTTTTTTTTTTCTCCATATAGAGCGCTTTATTTAATGTGATTTTTATCGTTCTTACTTTTTAAGACTTGACATTAGAAAGTTCATTCATTCTTTTTCAAGTCTTGGTCGTGATTTCCATTTTTTTTCTTCTTCATTTTTTTTTTTTTCCCTCTCATATAGATCGTAAACAATGACAAAATCTTAGGCTATAGGGTCGGTGTCCTTTCAGCCAAGAAAACTAGTCAACCCAACCCAAAGCACAATCTGCCAAATCCAAATTTGAAGTTTGAACCCACTGTTGGAATTGCTGGAGGGGGACACTAATAACTTTGCTATACCTTGTATGTGAATACAGTACAGGTCTTCCAGCTAAAAATACGGTACAAGTCTGTCTTGTGGGGTTGCCTTCTGCGTAGTCCATGATGTCTGAGTTTTCTAAAAAAATATTATATATTTTGTTTTTAGTCTATTTTATTTTCTTATGGTTCTAGCCGCCCGTTTATTTATTGATGAGATTATAAGGTAATAAAATGGTCTGTTACACTAAGTCCCAGTATATGGATACTGCCAAGTGCATGACAGAGGTACATGCTGTTGTCATGCATGTCGTTCTGTTCATAAAAAGAGTATGAAAATTACAACTTCGTATTCATCTCTCTCTTGTATTTATGTGAATATGGAGAAACAGAGATGAATTACAAACGACAACATTTTGAGTCATTCATACAAATTTTAGTATTTAGTTTAGTCAAGTCCACTAAACTAGAAATCTGATTTTGTCTTGGATTGTTCTAAAATGATTCTATTTTGTGGAAATTTGCAGTTTTATTTTTGCCTATAGAGAGGGATGCAATCGTTGCTCGTTATTTTCAATTCCTCTAAACCAAAAAAGAAGGGAAAAAAAAAAGAAAAAAATGAGAAGATTTGATCAATTAATGATAATTTATTACTTAAACAAACGAGATTTAGATCTTGACGGAAAAGAGCTTATAGACTTCTTCTAATCATGTTAGGTGGGATTTTCACTTTGATTAAAAAAAGAAAAAAGTTGACGTGTTTCACATCCTAGTAGATATTTTATTAAGTATAATTCGTTTACATTTTACATTTTTTTTCTTCTAGTCACTTTCATACTATTACTGTGCTTTAATCCTAGTCTACAATCACTAAGAAAAAATTTATTGTCCTTAATTTTTTTAAGTTACAATAATACAATCTTGAAACTAAGTTAGGAAAGTCTAATGTTTTTTTTTTCCCCAAAAAAAAAGTCTTTACACACGTTCCCAAGTTTCAAAGCATGGAAAATTATAAGCATGTACATTTTTCTATCTAATGAACGCATTTCATCGGCATCAAAAAAATAGATGAGCTTGAGTGGGCGTCAAACAAAACATGTATTGAAACTTTATGTCACATAACATTTAGACCGTTTCAAATATGATTTTTAATGCATAAACCATGTATCCTAGTTGGTGTTCTAAGGTACCGTGTCTTTGATTTTGACCATCTCTAGTTCAAACTTGAAACCGCGGCTCCAAGTCAATTCACACACATCTAACTCATTACAAGCACTATATGCACAACCATGTGTATATATATATGAACAAACCCGTCCTCTCCTCCATATCGCCACAAAAAAAAAAAAAAAAAAAAAATTATATCCCTAACGATCTCATTTCATTTTCAAAACCCAATTACAATTCGACTCGAAATCACAGTACACTAAAATCTCCATTTTTTTTTTCTTCCCCTTAATAATGGGGTGTCACCAAAACAAGTGTCGTTACTCGATCTTATTCGTTGGTACGGTTCTTTTGGTATGTGGGTTTAGTGGAACTCTGGCAATGAGGCCATTAGAAGGGGAGAAATGGTTGATGAACTCGTTTTCGTTTCAGCAACTCCCAAGGGGTCAGCAGAAACCGCCGAGTCCTAATCCATGCACGAATATCCCAAGAGGAAGCAGCCGTGGGAGGTGCACTTTGAGCGAAATGAACATAGCCGGACGTCGATTTTCTCATGAATCGCCGCCGGCTTTCCCGGATCACATTGTCGATTTCGCGGTGGCTTCCTTTGTTGCTCATGATCAGATTCAGAACCAATAAGGATCCTCTAGCCGGTTCTTGATAATCTACACGGAATAGGATGTAATTTATACAAAAGGTGTATATATATATAGATAAAGAGAAACAAAAGAAAGTCATTTGAATTATAGATGTCCAATTGTATTAGTGTTCCTTTAACTTATTTGATTCATTCATCAATTATAGCTATACATGGTTTGGGAGCAACGTGCATGGTTCTGTATCCCCTGATCAAATTAATAAATTAACCTTTTTATTCTAACGCTAAATATTGTGACTTCTTTGTTTTCATTTTTTTTTTAATTTTTTATTTTGGCTTGGAACTATGTCAAATGTAATTGGATTAACTTATTCACTTGATTATTTGTTACCTTAATTGATTTAACACTTGAATTACGTCGTGGTAAGATTGTTTTTCCATAAAATATAAAAAAGAAAAAAAACAATTTCGTGAAAAGAAATGAAAAGGACATTTGGAGAACATAGATATTTTTAGATAAAGTCACTTTTTTCTGCTTTTTTATAAAAAACTGAAAAAAAAAAAAAATTAAGTCACTTTCTTTTTCTTTTTTCTGCAAAATAAAGTAGTAACCGTTTCTTACAGACGTCATAAATTAGAAATATCCAGAGGAATGAAAAGAATTCTCTTTCTCATTGAAATCCTAATTATTGGGTACAAAAATATATACACGAGAGGGAGAGAGGTGGTCTGGTACACATAACTAACTTCAAGCTCACACCAAAGGATAAAAACAAAAGAGACTAACTAATTACAATGAGCTAATTGCTATCAGAGAGTAATTTACAGCTATATTCTAATACTCCCCCTCAAGATGGAGAATAAATGTAGCGAATTCTCATCTTGTTAAGAAGGTAGCGGAACTTAATTGGGCATGCATGGTGCCTTCGTTAATAAATCAACAATCTGATGTTGACTAGAAACGTGCAAAGTTTTCAGATTGCCATTTTGAATTTGCTCCCTTACAATGTGGCAGTAATTCTCTATGTGAAAGACTGGATTAGCTGCAATATGTAAGGCTGACTGATTGTCAGAACAACAAGGCAGGTTGAGTGAGAATCATCCCAAGATCCTTCAGTAAAGAGCGTAACCACATTAATTCACAAGAGTGACATTTGCCATGGCTCCGTATTCTACTTCAGCCGAGGATCTGGAAACTGTTTGCTGCTTCTTAGATTTCCCGGAAATCAATGAGTCTCCAAGAAATATACAAAAGCCACTGATCGATCTTCTAGTTTCAGGGCAAGCGGCACATTCTGAATCAACGAAAGCTTTCAAGACAATTGAAGATGAGGCAGGGAAGAAAAGACCTTGTCATGCAGTTGCTTTGATATATTGCACAATGTCAGAAGCAACTTGCATATGAGGAGTACGTGGTTTGGCAAGGAATTTACTCAATTGATTCACGGCATATGATAAATAATCTTGCGATTCAGTAGCTCGACGATCATCGTTACTTGCTATAATAATATCATAAACATATACTAGCAGAGCAACAAATAAGCTGCCATCAGTTTTAACAAATAGAGAATTGTCAAAGGACTATAAGAAAAATAACTTTTCAAGGCGCTTTAAAAGGCCTACTACGGTATCCCAAAAGCGCCGTGTATCCAAGCGCAGTGGTAGGTCCTGGATACAAATATGCTTTTAAAACACCTTGGTATTGTGGGGGAAACTAAGACACATAAGGTATCTTAGTAGGCCTACCAAGGCGCTTTTTAAGTGACTTAGTATAACTAGGATAAGAAGGCGCTTAAAAATCACCTTAGTAGGCCTTGGATTTTTTTTTTTTTTTTTTTTTTTGTGTGTGGCAATTTTAGATCTTGGATTTGATTTTCATCTATATAAATTCCAACTTACATTAAATTCCACATAAAAATTCAGATAATACAATATCAAAATATAGAAATTTGAACAACACAAAGGGTTGCAGCCCTTGATAGATTACAATAAGAAAGACAAAAGGCATAGAATTTCTAAGGCAAAAACTTAAAAATATATGCTATTTATAGTAAAATTAAAAGTTGGAAGAGGAAAAATAAAGAATTCGATGTTGTGATACCAATCCATCATATTTTGATGATTTGACAAAATTTTGACAAGTAAAAAATCAACATGGGAAGTGCTCTTATTTTCTGGATCCCCTAGCAGTAAAGAGTCCAACAAACTCATACTGACACTCTTTTCGCTTCTAATTTTGGGTTTAGAGTTACGCCTCGCTTTACTACTACTAC